CTCATCGACGATGAAAGCATTCCCCTGAAACCCAGCCCAAGGAAGAACCCCTTAGTGTATTACGGGAGTGCACAACGATGATGGATCTAAGAGGAAATGGAAAGTGGATCAGATCTTCATGGGATGTAAGATTGGCTTGGGCGCTATCTATACACATGGCAATAGCGGGTAGCTGGATTAGTTCGAACAAGTATTCCCTGTATATCAAACATTATGTGTTTATACCTCTTGTCGTACCCTTTTACGAGCTGATATTCAAGCAAAGTTGCAGAAGGGAACGGGCCAAGTTGTATCATATGCGAATGATCGGGCATAAGATAGCACAGTATCCGGTGCAGAAGACAAACCAGCCGGTGGGTTGTCACGATCAACCCCAAGCTGCAGTCGTGCTATCCAAAGTGTGAGTTACTCGCTAGAAGTAGGAGTCAACAAGAGGAAGACCAACCTATAGTTCACTATGAGATGTCCATCCGTTGCAAACGACTAAAGTTTATTGAGTTTGCAGGACGGTGCGTGGCAAGATCGATATCCAGAAATACCTTGAACAAGTTCGACACAGTATCATCAGGAGCAGGCGAGAACGCCAAATTGATGTAAGTGAACTTTGCGATAGTTTGAGTACAATGATCATGCGGTCAATGGTAAATCATACCAGTGGATCCCCAGCCTTCCAACCAAGTTCCTTCCTCAAGAATTGGATGACCGCTTGAAATCGGTTCGCGGCAGTTATCTTGTAGAAATTCTGCTTCATGATCGGCGCATTTCCTACTGCCTTAAAGCGCACTACCACTGCTCATCGGGTTCCACAATCAAAACCCGTAAAAAACGCGTCATCGAGCAGGGTACTGACCTTTGTTTGGGTCCTTCTTCTTGTATGTCTCCAAAGCTTGCACAGCTTGCATGAGACCCTCTCCGGCTTCACCTGGTGTCCAAGGAAGTGAAGCTTGACGGCCAGTGTCCTCAGGACTGCCCGGCGGTTGAGCCATTGCGAGCGACGCGAGTCCTTATAGTCGTGATGGTTGTTGGTCCAGCGAGCTCAACACACACACACAAAAGGAAACTCTCATCAGTCTAAGCGCCAGCGTCGCGCTGAGGCTTACTGTAAGCGCTGGCATGTAGCATTTTGTTTACACGTCATATTTGACGCCAAAAGCATCCGAGTCACAGAGACACGGTCGTCAATGGTTAATGTGTAGTCTATGTGTTACTGTACAAATGGTCTAATCGTTCGTCGTAATGGTCGAGTGCGTTCTCAAGCTGACACCTCCTTTTTCGTTGTGGAAGGCAGCACGTATTTTCCGGAACCGTTTGCAAAGATATCCTAAATGATTGCGAAAAATTGATGGGTGAGTTGCCGGGTGATCAAGGACAAAAGCATTAATTACCTTGAGAATTCCTCTCCCGATCATGGTCAAGGCCTCTCGGCTCTCCCAAAGAGGATACAAGACCACAGCGAAAGCTGAACAGAATGTCCAGCCGATTCCAATCACGACCCACGCTGTGAAGCCACTGACAGTGTATATTGTCGAAGCTCCAAAGAGAGGTAGCGGGATGAGGATCATGAAAATCACGGTCTTTGTGCAAAGTGAGTTGGTGGTTGAGATCGATGTCAGTGCAAACATACCATTATAACGGACGACCACGCGGCAAATCTGAAGGCCTTCTTGAGACCTACTGGGTCGAGCTCGTTTTCTATCTCTGCGGCTTCATTCGAAACCGATGACGCCGATGAAGCTTGTGCCTTCTTTTCGTCGTCGGAGTCCTCAGCTTCGTGAGGAGCGTTCTGGTGACTTGCAGGTAAGTTAATCGCGCGAGTTGTGGCGAAGTCATAGTTTTCGGGCCACTGCGAGCATATCAGAATGTCAGCATCCTGCTCGCGATCGACAAGAAATCATTTACTCACGATCAAGGAAGCGGCAACAGCCACGATACCTCCGACACCGATTGATGCTAGGTTTCCGGCGAGCATCTCATAATTACCTCCACTAGTCTGTTACACGCAGTTTCATATCAGCGAAAATCCGCATACGGTAGCAGAACAATCTCTCACAGTAACATTGATAACACCAGCGTTGCACCCAGCCGTAACACCAAGCCATGCAGCAATGCCAGCCACAAAACCAATGACAGCGCCTCCAACGCATCCGGCACGGCTAGCCTTGCTCCACGTGATACAAAGGGCAATAGGAACGACAGCGGAACCAAGAATGACACCCATGAAAGTCTAATCGAGCCATGTAACGTTCAGATCCATCGGAATGCGGAAAGAAAGAAAGAACGTACGTAGAGCCAACCCATGGATACGCCGATATAGTAGAAAATGACACCAGCAAGCCCCATCACGAGGGCAAAGATGACCACCTACAGATGAAGGATTGTTAGATCGTTGGCCGAAATCCGAAAAATAGAAAAGCGTTACCCCAGCGTGGCTCATTCGCAAGATTTGCTGCTCGGTTGCCTGTGGGTTGATGTATCTCTATTGCGCAGCGTCATTGATCAAAGTACTCCCTCCTGGGAAAACAAAACTTACCACGTATACATCGTATGTCAAGATAGAGGAGACAGCAATTAGCTCAGCGCTCGTTGCGCTCGTGACTGCCAGGAACAAGAGCACGAGAATCGCTGCTGCACCACTCTGTCCCAAGAGGGTGGCTGCTGCAACGGACGCGGGCAATCCCTCCGAAATGTCTGCTTGCGAGAGAGGTGGGAGCAGAGGAATGAAATCACTTGCAGTCGGAATTTGGGTAGGGGATAATGGCGCAGGAACGGCGCTCAGTGCAACGGCAGCCAAACCGAGAGTTGTAGAGAACGCGAAGGGGATTGCGAACCAGGCAATGCCTCCGATGAGATATGCCTTGACGGTTGTTGCAGGTCGACTGGCGATCGCACGCTGCCAATACGCCTGATCCTGGAACACAGTGGCAAAGTTTCCAATCAAGTTAATGATACCAAAGATGAGGCCGTTCTCCGAACGGAGGGTCAGGTAAGATCCTTGAGCGTTCCCAGCGACTGGCGTTACGGCCGAGGCCTCCGAAAGGAGGTAATGCATGTGGCTGATTGAGCCAATGTACCCTGAAGTTGCATAGACGGTGAACGCAAAAGTCAAGATGATGGCGAAGAGGACGGTGGTGTGCGTGCTAGATTAGAGGGTTAATTGTAGTCGTCAAACAGTCAAGTGATACCTACTAATCACAGAGCAGTGTAGAGCGCATACCACCAACGACCACATAAATTGCGACACCGAGAGGGATCAGGAAACATGCAGCGATGGTGCTCATTCCAGTCAGATCCGTGACAGTGGCTGATCCTCCCAACACCAGCATGGAAGAAACGATAAGGTTCGTCGCAAGGCCAAAAAACATGAATATCAGATGGGCAGCAGTTCCCCACCGAGCTCCGACAATTTCCAGCCATGTGTGAGCGTACGGTGCGTTGAGCTTGAGTTTTGCGGCCAACTGTGCAAAGAGAAGGACCTGTACTGTGGCGCCTGCAGCGTACCACCATGGTCCAGAGATACCGTATCTGTATCCGACGGCACTAGATTGAAGCTGAAATGTACGGTTTGGTTGCCTTGCCTCCGAAGCCATGTCAAAGATACACTCACAAGTGTTGCAGCCCATGTCCAGGCCGAAACGATACCAGAAGCAATGAGGCCGGGTTTGACGCTTCTCGAAGCCGACGTAAACTCTTCCGAGTTTTTTGGTGACACTCCGGTATATCTTGCCTGAATGGCCGTCAAGCAGACCATAAAGGCGCTGAAGAACAAACCGATTCCTGCGTTTGTCTTCGGTGAGAAGGCATTCCGGAACGCCCTTCAGAACTAGTACTTACCGACCACTGCCAATGATGATGTTAGTTTTACATTCCCATTATGAGCACTATATCTGCTCACCGACACCGTAGCCTGCGCCTTGGGGAAGCACTTCAGCTGGCATGGTGCAATGAGGAATGCACAGTCGAGCAAACGGCCAGGACCAGCAACTGGGAGTTTTGACTCATTATATACGTAAAGTTTGCTTGGTTCTTATCGGCGGTATATAGAAACCCGACTGCAAAGATAAGGATGATAAGTGGAGAGCGCCGAGGCTGTTACTAAAGAACTGTGGGGGATTCCCCCGCGCCAAACCAGATCGGCTCACCTTGCATCACTTCCGTCACCCGGCGTGATCATGCCAGTGGTGGCCTCAGCTTATGATCACTGCAAGCCATAACTCCAATTGCAGGTCCCGCAAGTAGTGAATGATGTGCTCGAGATTCCATGTACTACGTAGTGACATACAAGCTAGGTCACTGGGCCGCGTCGAGACTTACATCCATCCCACGGTGTAGCAAGTTATTGCAAGCGACAACATATTTTTATGCTCGGCACGCGGTGTTGCAACCCGTAAAACAGACCCAGGCTGGTTTGCCAACGCAGCGTCACGGTTGACTCGGACTTGATAGCGTGCCCAGTAATGATAATGAAATAAAATCTCCTTAATATTCTGCATATTCTGAATCTGCACGCAAGAGCCTGTGGTTCGAACAGTCCAGTTGATGCTGCCCAACCGATAGTCCCAGCTGTCAAGCCTTATCGCAATGACTTGCCAAGCAAGCTACCAATATTCCTTATCGAAGACCACAAGATTTTCGCGACAGGAGGTGAGAAGTCGCGGAAAGCGGTGCAGATAAGAACTCAGGCACGACTCCGACATCACACTCGCGAGAGGCTGCATGCGGTGGTAGTCTCCCCTATGCAGACCAAAGAGCCTGAGTCGAAGAAAGGCAGCCGTTACTTGTCCATAATCTGGTGCACCTGTTGTAGGTAAGTCAGCAGGAAATTATCATCAATACTCACCTGAGACCTGTCGAAATACTGAGATATGATGTTGTGGTGTGTTTGGTCTTTTACGCATTTGGGAATGTGCGCTTCGCGGATTATAGGCAACGGAAATTTGGCGATCCAGGAGAATGAAACACGGATTTGAAGCGACAGAGACAGCTTAAGGACGCAAAAGAACTGACGACAGTGAGATTCGAACTCACGCCCTTACGGACCAGATACATAGCCTGATTCTGGCGCCTTAGACCGCTCGGCCATATCGCCTATCTAACCAAGTAGCAAACCTTGATCTGATAGATGTCTAGGAAGGGTCAGCCAAAATTAAAAAATTCACCTTATCACTTTCGACAAAAACACAAAAAAAATTGGACTATGCGAGCAGAATAATATTGCACGAAGTATGCTATGAGCTTTACTCAAGATTTGCTGATGGGTTGGACGTGTAAGTATCCCTGGCCATCATGCAATAGGCCATTAATAATAACGATTACAATAATAACCGTCCGAATGAGGAAATAACCCCTATCCATCGTCAAAACACTTGGGCTACATACTTCTTTATCCAAAGGATATGTAAATATGGTCTCAGTGCAACAATCCCTGTTTGCGAAGCAAGAGGTACGTATCTACTCACTTCCGGGTGAGACCTCGGGTCATGGCCGACCAGGCCATCGTAGACTCATGCCATGCTGGATTCACCCACCAAGTTGCAGAGTTCGTGGGTAGCTACCCAAAACACGGGAGTGACTTGAAGCGCTAACCATGCAGTCACATCTTAAAAGTGTGAAAAGGGACAATGTTTGCCAACATATCGGATCGCAAGAAGTTGACGTACTCCATCTGCAGTATTGACAGCTTCAAATGCACAGCATGTCCTCCGGAGCTATTAATCGAGCTACCGCTGAGAGGAGGGCGCTTGGGTTACGAGGATCGCAGAGTCCCACCACCATGAAGCTCACCTTCTCAACTGACCGCGTTCGCTTTGCGTCGGTTTTCGACTCGGATGGGAGGGTG